CCAGGTCCTACATACAAACCAGCAGTACTCAGCAACCATAGAGTCGTACCAATATTAGTATGTTTTTTTCAATTATTGAAACGACCTGAAGAAATTTTCAGGGTGTTTAGAAACTACGTCTCAGGACCAGTAACCCTATTTGTGAGTTCACGTTGTCATGAAATGAATCATAAATATTAGTAAATATTCCATCATCAGCAGTACTGATGATGGAATATTTAGTCAGAAAACATTCTGTGATTTAGCCCGTAAAAGTTTTTTTTAAAATAAATTTAACTTTTATAAAGGAATGGTTAATAAAAATTTTTGTGAATATGGTATACAGCCGACTGCAGGAAAGTAACTTTATCCTTGTGGATTTTAATTTAGATATCGTACAGCGTTTCCAAAATAAAGTGCTAAGAAGCATTGTTAATGTTTCTTGGTATTACAGGAAGCTCTAGATAGTAACTATAAAGTTGCTATCTAGGGCTATATATACACTACGGCTCAGGTCAGCAATCCCAATTGAGAGTCTTGTGTTGCCATGCAGTATCATCATCATCATTCTGGCTTTACAATCCTACGTGGGTCCTAGCCGCCTCAAGAATTTCTTTCCAGTCGTCACTATCCATTGCCTTCATCCGCCAAGCACGTATTTCCATATTTCTCATGTCTTCATCGATGTTATCAAGAAACCTTGTTCTGGGTTTCCTCTTCTCGTGACTAATGGGTCTATCAAGGAGCGTTTTTCTAGATGGATCATTTTGTTACATCCCATTACATGCCCTGTCCACCTCAGACATCCTATCTTAATATGTTTTATATCTGGTTCCTGGTATTCGATATATAAAGTGTAAACGAATGCCAAAAATAGATCACTTGAGAAAAGTAATCAGCAGAAACAGCTGTAGTGATAAGAGTTTTAAATAAATTTTGTGGAAGTTTTGAAAACAACGTTTTCAGTGTTTTATTGTTACATAAAATGAATTTCCATCAAGTAACGGTCGAATCCATCAATAATTATGTAAACGTTTTTATTTTTCTTTTATTATTATTTTATAGAGAATCGAATTCCGCCAGTGTTGATCTTTTGGGAAATCTATCGGACTTTTGGGTGTTGACTGAAGGCCAACCGTACGGAGTTCCATCAGAGTGTTAGTGTTGATCTAGGAACAACTCCACTAGCCCTAGGGTATTGATCGGAGGACCAACCGCTTTTGCTAGAGTGTTGATCTAGTGACAGTTCCTTACTGGTCTTAAAGTGTTGATCTGAGACAGACCTGTTCTGTGGCTAAGTGTTGATTAGTCCCTTCATCCCGGAGCAAGTGTTGATCGATCCATCCACCTCTAACCCATCATTTCTTCTGTTCAGCGTGTGTCTTAACACAACGTATTTTCGTTCCAATTTTGTGGGTCATACGTCGATTTTGTGTGTCGATACCGTCGTCGCTAGGATTGACAATTAAATTTTATACATATTGTCTAGGATATAATTTTATTTTGATATTTATTTTAAGTCAAACTTGAGTTTGACTCAGTCTGCTGTCTAAAAGAGCTACCCGTCACAAGGACAATCACCTGCAGACATGGGTTCGGGTTCAACAAAAAAAAAAAACTACTGATCTTTTCCGCATTTCTACAACTAAGATAAAAATATCCTTAGTGATCACCAACATTCGGTAACAAATTCTAAATTTTAGCGTTTTGATGATACATTTATTATTTTAAGAAAAGCTAAAAAACTTTTTAGCTGCTATACACAACTTCACCTATAAAAAGTATTTGCAAAAAGATAATGAGATTTTAAAAACAAAGTAGCCATTTTGTAATTGAAGGGGTGGCTGCAATAACCAGGAAGCTCCACTTTTTTACGAAAATGAGACTTTCAGTGACTTACTCTTAACAAAAATATCTCTTAATAACGGCACATAACTGGCAACGATATTTGGAGCTACCTTGCTTTCGGTTTGTAGCAAGAACCGGGCAGCTCCTGGAGCTGCCTGGTTCTTGCACTTAACTGTTGACAAAATAATATAATAGAAAAGATATAAAAATATGCATGGAATATAAAAAATAAGTTTGATTCCTTCATGTATTTGTTTAGTTTCTATTGAATTTTATGTAATAATACAATAATTTTAATATTATTCTATTTCTAAACAGTTTGTAATACGGTCCTGTTCATTTTCTCATGCGCCGCCGTGAACTAGTTACTTACTCGTTTAGTCGGGCAAGCGCAGGTGCTCGTTGTGTTTTAGTTTAGTTCAGATCGACGTGTTGTTATACATAGATACACACTTTTCTTACGATTCGTAGTGAATAAAATTTAGTATTATTTATATTTGAAATGGCAAGTGAACTCAGTTCAAGTGAAAGTGAACCGTTTCAAGATTCGTCATCGGATTTCATTCCTGATTCCGAATCAAGTGAGGAGAATGCTGTAAACGAAGTTGCTGCAAGCAATGTTGCCACTACGTCTGGACTGGTTGAAAATAAAAAATCGAAAAAGAGGAGCAGGGAGCCGAATATGTGGAAGCGAAACCAGAGAAAATTAAGAAGATCTAAAGGTGAAGAGTACATTAATGTTAAAGGAAACATAGTGGAAAGACGAAGTAGAGGAGGTCCATGCCAGTGCCGGTTCAAATGTTTTGAAGGCATAAGCGAAGAAACTCTTGATAAAATTTTCACGTCTTTTTATGAAATAGGTGATAAAGAGCAACAAGATATCTATTTAGGTAAGGATAAAATTATTGGCGCCTGAAAGCACGTATTAGTTATATATCGTTTCATAGGTTCTTGGGTATGCAGATTTCGGTTCCGAGGTTTATTTGATATTTAAACAAATAAATGACGATTCCAATAGCCTTCCATACCTGTTGGTACGGACGGCAAATAATGATTTTTACGAAATATTGATTTTCTGTTCTTTTTTTCAGGTGGTTTAATACAGACGAGAAACGTTGACAGAAGGCGACCGAAAGGAGGTGGTGGAGTTCCAAGAGGCCAAACGTTTTTATATAAAATAAAGAGAGGCATATTTGAGAAAAAAGTGTGTAAAACGGCATTTATGAACATTCACGCAATAACGAAAAGCAGGGTGGAGAGAATAGCGACTCATATGGCTTCACAGATAGTAGGTCCGAAAGACATGCGAGGGCGCCATGAAACTAGACCAAATAAAATCCCAGATCAAATTATCAAGTCCATTGAGGATCATATAAATAGCTTTCCAAGAAGAAAAAGCCATTATAGCAGAAATGATAACCTAAACAGAAGATATCTTTCATCCGAACTGAATTTAAGGCTTATGCACAGATTGTATTTAAAAAAATATGAACCAGAACAGCATAATCTATTAGACACACCAGAGTTTAAGCCAAAAGTTTCATACACATATTATCGGCGTGTATTTGTGGAAAATTTTAATTTAACCTTTGGCCACCCTAGAACAGATACTTGCAAAACTTGCAACATCCTTGACAATAAAATAAAATGTGCCAAAGATGATGAAACTCAAAACACATTGAAGGTGGAAAAAAAAGTGCACCTGACTAAAGCTGATACTTTCTATAAAGATTTAACAGAGAAAACTGCTTTGGCTAAGGAAGATCCCAGAGTTGAAGTCATGTCATTTGATTTTGAACAAAACATGCCCCTGCCACATGTTCCTTCTGGTGACGTGTTCTACAAGCGCCAGTTGTGGTTTTATCCATTTTGTATCCATAAGGGCAGCGTTTCGAAGAGTTACTTTTATGTTTTCGATGAAATAACGGGTCGGAAATCTCCAAATGAAGTGATAAGTTGCTTACACGATTTTATTAATAACTACATTGATCCTCAGGTAACAACCCTTTACGTTTATAGTGACAACTGCGCTGCGCAGAACAAGAACTCCGTTCTTGTTCACTTTTGGCAATCTCTTCTATTGCATGGAAGATTCAAGAGAATAAGACATCGTTATCCCGAACCTGGGCATAGTTTTTTGCCCTGCGACAGGTCGTTTGCTCTGGTGGAAAAAGAAAAAAGAAAGAAAGAAAGAGTTTATCTGCCAGAGGAATGGAGTCGCATGATAGCAAATACCAGTAAGAAGTTTATTGTGAAAACTGTTAAACAAGATATGATTCTAAACTATAAAGAAGTTCTTGAGCCATTTTTTAAGAAAAGCAATATTAAAAATAGTTTTGGTGCAAAATTTACCATATCGAAATATAAAGTTATCGAATTTAGTGATACACATAGAGAGACTGTTACGTGCTCAGAGTCAGCGAATGGTTTTGTGACTGAGGATTTCGTTCTTTTAAAGAAATCTTGTGTACCGATTTTTCCACAAGTACACAATAAGGTTTATAATGCACCGTTGCCTTTGAAAAGGGATAAGCTATTAAATGTCATGGAATTGGCCAGACAGTATGTTGGCGAGGCTGAAATGTGGTACTACCAACAACTTGTTCCTGTAGAGCCAGAAGAATGCCAAACTTCCGAAACTGAAGATGAACACTAGTAACCTAAGAAGAATATTACCTGTTTTTTATGTTTTCATATTCCACTGATTAGTTTGTATTTTGATATTAATGTAATAAGGACATTTTATTTAGTTTCTTTACTTTTTGTATCCAAATAACATATAAATAAACCTAAAACTATTTTTTTTGTATATTTTTGGCAAAGCAGCTCCAATTTTTTTTTATTTTATTAAAATATGATATTTACAATATTTACAAAAACTACGTAAAAACTTTTTCTTTACATGCTTTCACCACAGGAAAAAAAATAATAAAAAATAAACTAATTTTGAATTTTTGGGAGGTTTTTTTCGATTTCCCACAAATTTTAAAATACGGAGCTACCTGGTTATTGCAGCCACCCCTTCAATTGTCGAAAAAATAAAATTTTGATTGATTATCTGGACGGAAGTTTTATACAATAAGCTGTAGCTATATGTGGAGTATCTACTTTCTATCGGATAATACAATAAAATGTATTATTAACAAAATATATAGGAAGTAGATTCGCGTGGCTCACCTGTACGTTCTCGCATCCTTACATCCAATGTGAAGATTGAACAATTCTCGAATTTCGACAACTTCAATGAGCGACACAGGTATGTGAAAGGGTTTACTTCTGGACTGTAAATACAAGCGATACGTCGTGACGACAACTACACCATCCACCGAGTGTCCAACATGAAGAACGGTTTCGCCGGCCAGTAAATTAAATGGAACATCCTTCGTGTTAGACGGCTGCAGTGGGTACATGTGAATGGACTGGACGTGACATATGGAGTTTGGTTGATCTGTGGTGTCCATACTGAAAACAAAAAAAATAATTAAAAAAGGAAAGTCACACTATTCCGTTCGTAATTTAGGTATGTAATCCAGGTTTTATTAGAGCTAAAATCAGCGTTGAAATTTAGAAAAAAGTTAGATCCCAAAGTGTGTTAATGGTCTATTTACTATCCTATTTTTAAAATATTTTCAATTTTGTAGAGCATTTCGTATTCCTAACTACTAAATTTGTAGAGTTATTTTGTATCTTTTACATAAAATAAAAATTTTGGAAAGTGTTTTTATACATGTGCAAGTAGGCCATGTTTCGGAGGATGGAAAATAAGACTCAGACAAACATGAATCAAAACATTTTTGATAATCCTAGGAAAATGAGAAAAAACAAGGACAAAAAAAAACGAAGACCACATACATGATAAACAACTCATAGAAGAATGAATGGGCGGATGGGAAATTGTGGCATTTGGAGACAGGCCCTCAATTTGATTTCTCATTCTCCTTCTTGGTTCAAAATCTTGACCTGGATGAGTGGATGGAACGATAACCTACATTGATCCGTCAAAGGGGGCTCACTTGGTTCACGAAGGACCAGAATGGTCCACTTCAGAATGGACGAGCAAGCAGAGATATTTACGAACCTGGCATGTGCACAGGAGATAATATGTAGATAGGGCTTGCTCATGAGTCAGGACCATCTCTATCTGCTTTGACAGTAAAGCAGCGCTAAGGGATTTTCAAACGCCCAAAGTCAGTTTTAAGCTGATTCTTGAGTGCAAGAAAGCACTTACTGATGTTGCGCTGACCAATAGGGTTAAGTTAGTATGGGAACCGGGACACAGACACGGAAGGGAACGAATGAGCTGACGCCCTGGTAAGACAAAGCTCATCCACTCTGTGGCCCAGAGTCCTGGGCCAGTTGTGGAGGTATGAGACCGACTAGGCTCCACACAGTAGGGGCATCCAAAAGTCTTATAGCCCAACTTCTCCTTCTAGACCTCAGAAGACACTCTCCGGTGGTCAGTATGCTTACCGGCCACTGTAGACTCAGGCGGCACCTTCATCTGCTTGGATTGGTGGATGGCCCACCGTGCCGTCTGTGTAATGAGAAGGAGGAAACCTCCTCAGATGTTCTCCGGAAGTGCCCGGCGTGGCAGTTCCTGGATTCGGCCTCTATGCAACCAATTCAAATGAGTGAGTTACCTTTAAAGAGACTTGTGGCTTTTGTGAGATCACAAGGTTACTAAAGACCCCAGAAACACCAAAGATTAGGTCCTATGGGCCTAGTCCGTGTGATAGGGGTGATACGATGGATCCGTCCTAGGAGGTCTAAGTGTCTGAAGGGCTCACGAATGAGCTCTGCCCCGATCTACCATAACCATGGGGTACATATAAATATACAAAATACGTAATACATGACTATAGGAGGCACAGGGGAAAATCTCGAAACAAAAAGCGTAATAATAAAAAAAATTTGGCAGTATGAATACCTAGTAACATATGATAGGAAAAGGAAAGGAAAACATATGATAAAAGCACTACACCCAATCTTATGGAGTACAAAAAAAAAAATGATTCAGCCAGTACCGACGTAAGGCTCAGAAACTCGGGTAATCGATAAATATACTCATAAAACCTTCTCTCAACCGAAATAGTGTATTGGAGAAGATGTTCCGGTTTAACTTTACTTGATTATGTATAAAATGGGACCATTAAAGAAAATAAGGAAGTAAAAAGTATTGTAATTGAGAATATACCTATAAAACAATTAAAGTGGTATGGTAATGGACACCAACACAAAGAAATAAATGTGGGAAGTCAAGAAACAGTTCATTTTCAAACAGCCACACCAAAATGGAACGTAGATGACTCTCTGAATGAGACTGGAACAATAGAAAATTATGCCGTCAGGGATGCGAGAAGCGACATTAAGTTATTAAATTATTTTTATAACTTCAAGACTCAAGACCCTGTATATATTAATATTAAGTAAAATAAGAGCCATTGTTTAAAAATCATCCTATGTATTGGCGGTTTCGAGTTCCTTGTAATTCTTTTTTTGTCTCTTAATGAGTTTATAAAAAACAAATTATAATATATAACACCATAAACTAAAAAATGTACAGAAACTGTTTCTAGTTGCATAACTACACATTAACTAAATAATAATATACTATTTAGAAACAAACAATATGTAATGATAGACACCACATCAATTATTTATAGCTCTGAAGAAGTGAAAATCGTAAATCGAGAAAGTTTTTATTTTATTTCATAAAGAAATGTATTTGTGTTTAAAAAAAAATTGTCGAGTTTATATCAACAATGTCGAAATAGTGATATCTGCATAAAGAGTATTTATATATACATATATATATATATATATAATATATATATTATATATTATATATATATATATATATATATATATTTATAAAGGAAAAAAAATATGATAAAATATTCGTATAAGATGGAAGGCAACCGAGCCAAGTTAGAAAAGGAGCATGTTAACTTGGAAAAGGATCACTACAGGAGCAATGTGACCAATTTGTGGCAATAATGTTAGAAGAGTCTGAGGTTTCCAGAGTCTCAATTCATGTAGTTCACTATGATATAGAAGGATCTCGGTCATCATCCTTTATTTGAACACGTTTCTTGTTTGCTTATATGTCTATAAACATCATCAGGTCATCTAAAATTAATTAAACATATACAAATATAATACATCCAAAGAGAAAAAATAGCAAAAAATTTTACCTTAAGCGACATGTAGGTCATAGAAGATGGAAGTGAAGTAAAAGCTTAACTTATGAACAATATAAAATTTTAAAACGTTCAGTTTCTTTAGAAAGAAAACAGAACTAAGTCAGTTTTTTATAAATGTACTAATAAATTTTATTAAAAGCTATGCAAAGAACAGAGTTACAAAAAATGAGTAAAAAATGAGAAAAACAGAATACTTTCCAACATGGAACACAAACAGAATTCCAAAAATACTGATATTGTTCACTGATTTAATATTATTAACTTTTATATTTAACTATAGGTAATATCATTAGACCACGTTAAATCAAAGTAAACGAGAAATTTATTGTATATTACCAGCTGATTGCCAAGTGAACACTTCAAAGGTTCAAAGAATAAATAGGCCTGAAAACAGTTATTAATTTCAACATGCGTATATGGCAGCATTCTAATGTACCCAAACAAGAATGACATTTGGTTAGCTCATGCAGACAGAGCGGTAATTTCACAACAGGTATGCTCATATAACTAATTTTAGACGAACTGATGATGTTTGTGGACTTATACACGAAATGTTTCAAATAAAGGATAAAGTAACAGCATCCCTTTTTTACTCTCTACCTTTTGGCCGATAACCCTCCATTATCATAGTGAACTAAATTTTATATACAGTAGAAGTTTCTATGAGACGAAATAAAAAAGGAAATATATAAAAAATCAGTATCTATGATTTTGACCATAGATACTGATTAATTACATATTATCTTTAGGTTTAGTCAATGGTTTAAAGAATGTAGTAATTTTCTCTTGCTTGGCAGATTTTAAAAACTCCTTCAATTCAAACTGATATTTAGCAGTGCTATTGGCAATTTGCGTCTTAAAAGTACGACCTTGTCCCATAGATGAATCAATTTTCATAATGAAATCACAAAGCTCATTTTCCTTTCGTAAACCATCACTAAGATTTTTTAAATTAAATGTCACGTTTCCAGTAATTATTGAAGTCTCTTCTTTAGGTTGTGAATTTAACATTTCCTCCAAGTCGGTTTCAGTCATATCTTCATCTTGCGATTCAAGCCAATCCTGAACGTCACTTGATTCTATCTGTTCGAACCCATCTCATCCTATCCCACTCGCAATTTCGGCAATATTTGCAGTTACATTTTGAAGTTCACAGATTCTTCTTCATTTCCCGCAGTCAGAACCGGTCATCATTTTTCCAGCATGATTTCAATGTGTACGGCTTTAGCTCTTGCAATGATTCTTTTATATTTACGATGTATTTTGCTGTATAAAATTTCTTCCTGCATTCGATAACATTCAGATCTGGATCACATTCCATATTATTTAGTATCATTTTGAAGGTTTATCTATTGTAATAGAGCTTAAAGACCTCTATTAGGCTTTGTTCCATAGGTTGAAGCAAAGCCGACGTATTGGGAGGTAAAATGTCACTTTTATATTTGGATGCATAGTTTCAAGTTCGCGAGGATGACCTGGTGCATTGTCCAAAATTAGAACTGCTTCTAGTCTAAATTCTTTGATTTAAAATAAATTTCAACCACAGACACAAAACAATTCTGGAATCAGTAATAAAAATAGCGTTTGTAACCCTAGCTTTCTTATTAGCACGCCAAAAACACTGACAGGTTGTCCTTGTTTTCATTTTTTAACGCACGAGGATTTAAAGATCTATAAGGCATCAGTGTATCCTTTACTGTCTTAACTACAGGGGCAGACTTTTCGCTTTTAGAAACGAATATTTTATTTGCTATTCTCGTCCAAAACCGTGCAGTTTTGTCTGCATTAAATACTTGCTCAGGTGTATATCCTCCACCATTTACCAGGTATATTATACAGCATTGTTAATAAAAGCAACATTACATTTTTTGTCATAGTAAATAAAGTTTCTGTTTAAGAATGTCCAGAAACAGAAAGCTACAAGAGCTAGATCCCAATCAACTCTTCAGATGGAATAATGGTATAACTGATGAGCAAGCCATATACTTAGAAGATGGTGGTGGCAGTGATGCAGAGGATGCTGTAATATCTAATGTAACAAATGCTGCATGCATACGCTCAAATGTAGAGGCTCCTTCATGTAAGTATGAATGTATTGACAGTATACATACCTACTTACTGCTATTAATTTTTTATTTACAACGACTTTTGAATGTCATAACCAGAAAGGAAGATGACAGGAAGAAACAAAAGTAATGGCTGTTACACGTGCACCAAATGTCGACATTAATATTCGTATCTATAACAAACAGATAGAACCAGTACAAATATTCCAGAATCTTGGGTGCTGGATAAAAAACGATCTTGACCACGAGGTCGTTTCAATATGCTAGGAAAGCATTTCAACGAATGAAAAAATTCCTAATAAACTCTACGTTATCGTTGGATATCCAACTTGTAATCCACTGGTATCCAATTTGTATAAACGCTTATTTATTCCATATTGCTATACGGAGTGGAACTATGGACTCTCCGAATTACAAGTATGAGGCGTATAGAAGCCTTTGAGATGTGGGTTTTTCGAAAGATGCTGAAGATCTCTTGGACAGAGTACGTGACCAACAACGAGGTGCTAAGAAGAATGGGTACTAAGAGAGAACTCCTAAATATTGTAAAAAACAGAAAACCGAGTTATCTAGGACATATTTATTTTTTTCTTTGTCGATATGATTGAATTGAGTGACATACGTTTGATTTAATATATCTCACAAAAAGAATTCCAGCGAAGTCAGATCTGGCGATCTAGATGGCAATTCTATGAAGCCTCTACTCCCAATCATTGATTTGGAAATATTTCGTTCAAATAACTACAAATAAGTCAAACCAAAGAGAATATATGGAAGCAGAAGCAAGAATCGAACACTTAGAAGACATAGAAGATAATTCACCCAGCAAAGAACAAATCGAGGAAATCATAAAAAAATCTGAAAAACAACAAATCCCCTGGAAGCGATAACATAACAGCAGAGATGATGAAATATGGTGAAAAACTGCTAAATAATTGGATATACAAGATCATAAAGAGATATGGATAATGTAGCGTTTACGCTACTGACTAGTCCAATTTAAACCCCTCAAGAAATTTTTATTACCCGCCTACGATCGATTTTGAATCGACATTTTCCCCCACACGCGCTGTTATCGCTTTGAAAGGAAGATCGATTTTGTGCGGAAGCGAAGCGGAGAGTTTTGGTCAGAACTGATTGCAGACACGTCAGCCGGTGAAATTGTTCACCTTTAAAGTGACGGAATTGGAGCAAGGAAGATAATTTGGGGAAAAATATAATTCATTTATAATAATAGTAATAATTAATTTTAAAATCAATATTCATTTATGAGTTCCATATAAAAAGGAAGAGTTGGCGTGCTGCGAGCTCCATGTAAGTAAATCATTTTATACGTATTATCTCTTTATCATATAATCAAATTTATCATTGTATTTAGTATTTCTTTAGAGATTTATTTTTGAGTTCCGAAATAATTTAAATATAAAATTTCCTTGATTTACTTACAAAGAACATAAGGTCATTTTTTTTATATAGTCAAACTAAAGTCCGATCTAGTCCATATCTTATCATTAAGTTTTTTTTGGTTCTTTTTTTTACCTAATTTTTTTGGTGGAATATAAAAGGTTCTACAAATGTGGTACAGCCTTCTGTATTCTGCGCATGTTCTTTTCATGGCGCAAGCTTGCCATGCCTACGAAAGTAACTTCATAAATTTGACATGATGTTTACTTAACCTAATACCTAATGTTTTGATGTTTTGTTTTGGTGCAGTCAATCCATGCTGCTACACCTATTGAATTGTATTTATTAAATTAAATAATCATTTTAGATTCCGTCACGTGAAAATATTATTTTCACTTTACTTGAGGATATTCTCTTGAGAATATTCCCTCAAGGATACTAGTAACAGAATCCTTAGATACATAGTTAGCAAACCCGTGGATTTTGCTGTCACCCAGAGACCAGTGACTGGTTGTGCGGTTGTGGCTTTTGTGACCAGGATTCGTCTTTACAGCCACAAACTGATGTAGCCGTGCCAAGAGGAGTTTTTCCTATGGACTTATAGTGCTGTAAAGATAAGTCGTTTAACTATTTGACCTTTTGTATTACGTATTACTTTATATTTACTGTTAACTGATCATATGCATATGATAAGGTAAATACCTTTGTGATAATTTAATTTTTGATAATCTAATTTTAAAATATTGGGGAGAAGAGAATACATTACATGTTTTTATTGGGTTTTTAAATAGAATATACAGAGTCTGACCAAACTCACTTTTTTTTGCTATAATATTTTTTTTAATACAATACATTGGATATGATACAATTTAATATTGGGAAAGGGAAATAAATTTAATGTTTTTTTTTTAAATATGATATAATGAGTATGGAACAACTCATTTTTTGGATGTAATATATATATTTAATATAATTGTAATAGAGATTTATCAAGTTTGATATCTTTACAATATTGTCATTAGTACCTCATTTTAGTAGAACTAATTTAAATTTAAATGACTACCTTTTTGTTTTAAGACTTTGGCTACCCTACGGACTATTCTTGTTGTATACTAATATTTCATATTTTATTTGGCCAGTGGTAGTGACTATTCGTTTGTTGAGGGGCTATTAGGTCCCATTGTATCTGTACACCATCCACTACCACTGTTATTTGGCTTTGCATTATATGTAAATTGTTTATACACATATACCGATATACATTTTTTATAAATATATTTATTGTTACTATTTTTGAGTTTTATTTCAGTTCTACTAACCAGTATATAACATAGCAAAACAAGATTATTATTTAGTATTTTTGTATTTCAGAGTATTATCTCCAGATTCATTTGTTACTTCAAAATCTCAACTATCGTTGAGTTGGCGCCCTCCTTTTCTCTTCTTATTGTTCTCTTTCTATAAATTTATTCCCAGTGACTTTCTTCAGTTGTATCACGTTTGATATTACCAGGTCTCATTTCTTTCTTGTCTCATTAGCTCATTAGCTCTTGTTATTGTTGTTTATATTTTTAAAGCCACAATCCAGTGCATTGAAGCTAGCCCGAACACTCACTTGAGATTTAGTGTCTCTTTGGCCATTTAAATTTGTTCCTCTGAGCTTAGCCTATTTTTAGTATTTTTTTTTCATCACTTCTCTTTCAGTTCTTCTGAAATTTGGAAGTTCTACACCTCCAAAAAAACCCAATACTCCCGGAGTATTGAGTGTTTCAATTGGCTAGACCCAACGTGTGGCTTCTTTTCCACTTCTGCCTTTAAAAAAAAAAAATATATATCTCCTTAAATTTTTGGTTTTGATCTTGGGTTGTTGTGGTTTTCACTGGTTGTGCTTTTAGATTTTCATTTTAACGTTTAGTTTTGTGCTTCAATTTTTTTGGACATTACCTTATATCTATATCTTAAATCGACTTGTTTTGCTATATACTGTGTAGACTGAATAAATTGCTTTGTTTTTGATTGATTAAATAACAATTTTAGATTAATAATAAATTAATTAAAAATTTAAATAACATAAAGTTAACTATTTCACATTTTTTACAAGTCCGGAGTAGCCAATAAGTTGAGTCACTACCTCGAAATAACAGTTTTGAAATTTTAGGTTCCTTAGGGTGTTGTAGCAGTATATGTCATTGGATTTCATAACTGGACCAAAACAATTAAACATTACTGGTATAGGTATCCCTTCAGAATATTAATTTGGAGTCAGAGAGTAAGTTAAACTTTACCTACTTTTACTCATTCTCTTGTATATCGCTCAGTTGTGTAATATGTCAGTCTTTAAGTTAGAGCATCTGTTAGCTCCTGAATTAGAGTATGAGTTGAGAGTCTGTCACCTAACCAGTCCATTGTTAAAAAATGTTGTATAATGTACCGAATGTACCAGGTAAATTTCCTGATTTTAAAGTTGAACATGGTGTTTTGTATAAACATGTCTTAAGTTCCATGGAAGCCCTTACTGAAATGTCGGATTTGAAGATAGTCGTTCCAACTCCTAATAGAGCAGAG